TTACATGAATTATATTGATTTTTTCTAATATAGTTTGAATATAATATAATATATAGTTTAAATATATGTAGTAAAAAATTTATATTCATGTATAAAATTTACATTATTTTTATTAAAAAAGGATATTTCTAGATTACTTAACAAATTTGAAAATTATTTCTCCATAGAAAATTTTTTTATTTAAGAAAAGTTTTTTTAATTAAGAAAAATAATATTCATGTGAACAAAAATAACTTATTTTACAATAAAATGAAAGTTTTTCTCGCTACTATTTGAAATATTTTAAGTTTCACAGATAATTCTATTTGCAATTGATTTTATGCTTAATATTATTAGTTTTCGAAATATATAATGTCATTGATTATCCATGAGATTAGAATATATATGCGATCTAATTTTGTTATCAAGTCGGATTGCGTAATATATCTGACGAACATAAGCGCTTCTTCGAAGAAACGTTCACCAATTGGTGAAAATAGAGTGACATAGAAGTGGCTCAATGGTAAATGTAGGAGCGCGTCAAATTTTCAGACTATATTCCACGAAGTAAACGTCACCGCTATGCGGTGCCGTCGTTATCGTCTGCCGCACTGATCCTTGCCAAAAATGTTTTTCTAAGAACTCCTATTTCGACATAGAGAGCAGAAGTTTTTCATTGGTGTATAATTCTATATATTAAACTTAACGATTAAAAATATACATTTTTATTGACATTAACTACGTCAATTCATGAGAATATTATGTATAGATTGAGCCATTATATTGATGATTTTTCTCTAAAAAGGAAACGATTCTATACAATCAAAATCGAATAAAATAAATTTTTTTTCTTTTTGAGAATATTAAATAGTTAAAATATATCTTTAAAAATTTATCTTGGTAAATCTTATTTTTCTTTTTTTTTATAAAAAAACGATGATTGGCAGCAATCGAAAATAAAAGTGGATTTAATATACTACAGTATAAAAATTTTAACAATTTTTTAACAATTTTTTAACAATTTTTTAAACGCTTATGTTTTATGATAAAAGATGTCTTTTCATAAAAAGTTGTTGTGAAATATTTTTGCCAAAATACGTATACAATATTATATTTTTTGTAAATTATAATCATATAAATATGTACAAATAATAATGCTATTTATATTATAATAATTTTGCTATTTATATTATTATTACGCTATTTAACTTATAATATTAATTAATATTCACTATTTATTTCAGACTGCTATGTTGATTGCAGTGATTCGATTGCAAGCGTACGAACATGATGTTGAGAATGGTGTGTCCAAAATGCCATCATCATTTTCCTGTATTGGGATGCTGTTTAAAATGGAATGATGAAACTAATCAAAAGGAAATGAAGGAAGAGGAGAAGGAAGAAAAGAAGAAAAAGGAGAAGGAAAAGGAAAAGAATGAAGAAGAAAAGAAAGAAAAAGAAGAAAAGAAGAAAGAAGAGGTGAGAAAGGAAGAAGAAGGTGAAGAAGAGGAAGAAGATGAAGAAGAAGAAGAAGAGGAAGAGGAAGAGGAAGAAGAAGAGGAAGAGGAAGAAGAAGAGAAAAAGAAAGAGAAGATGACTGCTAATACTATCTGTTCAAAGGCGGCAACCTATTATGTTAGTAGTCTCCCAGTGTCCCATGGCTGCACCAGCGACAGCAGTTGTTTTATAAATCCATCTACAAAGATTCAGGAACCCACCATCTTTCAATCGCGTGCAGTCAACTGCGGCTCCAATGTCGAAATTACTGATTCTGATACACTGGAACTCTTCTATGACATACAGACGTCAATAAAACATAATCACCATCCGCTGTTAACATCTCCAATATATCAATTAAATGATCAAGATCCCTTTATTACAATGACAGAAAATCTTAATTATGAGATGGCATCTTCGGAGCAATATATCGCATCTACGTGCGAGCTCACTGGCGGCAGCGTCACGATTGCTACACCTGATATACAGTCAGGTGGTTGTCTAATACAACATACAGAACCCGAAATTCTAGTACAAGCTTCGCAAATCAAAATTGAACCAAAGCTTACTGGCGGCGGTTGTCTTGTGCAGAAGAAACTGACCGAGGAAAATCAACGATTGGTAACATCTAAATGTACAAAAAACTTCGCAGCTGTTAATAATCGGACATTTGTTACGCCTCCCAACGGTTATTCAGAATTGCCTGCGAATATAAGGGTCATATCATCTGGGACGATAAGAGATAACGAAAATAATGTAATAACAAGTGCTGAATCAAGACCACGAAAAATACCGAACACGATCAAAATAAATAATTGCTGCGATTGCAAAAGTACATTTCAGCAGAACCATTGTCAATACCATCATAGACGAATATTTGATGCATCTCTCGCGGATAATCGTGACTCATTGCTACTGGAGCCTATCGGTAGTAGCGTACAATTTCGAGTAAATGCTACTGTGCAGCTACCTGCCAATCTGGGTCAGTGTACGGTAAACATTACAGCGACAACGACAACGCCGCCGAACCAAGTTGTAGCGATGAAATTGCCAGGTCGTGGTAGAAATAACTTTCACGGAGGTGGTCTCGTGCAACCGAACGAGTTGGACTGCGCAATGGTGAATCAGATTGTCGCAGAAAACAACAAAAGTTGTAATAATACCGAGCAAGTGGATGAAACATTGACAACTCCGGTATCCTGGCCACTGACTGCCTGGAGCCCGGACGTACATGTAAATAGATTACGCGAAGTAAAAAGATTACTGCAGATTTGTGGTTGGTATCATGAGGGTATCAGTCGACAGCAAAGTGAAAACCTTTTAAAAGACGCATCGATAGGTCGATGGCTAATGAGAGACAGTTCGGATTACAGATTCACTTTTGCGGTATCTGTAAAAACAACTAAAGGCCCTGCTTCTATTAGAGTACACTATTTTCTCGAACATTTTCGGCTTGAAACTACTGACCCTAAGTTAGCATTGGCGATGCCATTTTTTGATTGTCCTATTAAAATGTTGGAGTACTATGTCGCGTATTCAAAAAGGATGGATGAACATCGTAGGGAAGTGTGGGTCGACTATAGTGGACAGCTGTATAGCCAGATCTATTTGACTAGTCCTCTTGTCAAAGAAGTTAGATCACTGTCGCATTTAGCTAGACTCGCCGTGAATCGAAACAAGTTGCCTATTGACTGTTTACCATTATTAATTAAAAACTATATCAAGGAATATCCATATACGCTTTGAGTGTAATCATGATACGTTTATCTTCCGAGATGTGTGTGTGTGTGTGTGTGTGTGTGTGTGTGTGTGTATTTGTGTACATATAAGCAAAAATTTATTTTTATATATTACAATACGAATTTCTCTGACAGCTTATTTTTCGATAAGAAACCGATTATGCCTTCAATTGTACTGATTGTGGATATCGTGCAAGTGTATTATAATAAAGAATTGTGAATGTAATTATATAAAGGAATATAGACACAAATGTGTGCACATGTGCATGCGTGGATGTGGTAATAATGTGTATGTATGTGTGTGAGTACTAAATAATTCTATTGAACAAGTATGATAGAATTTATTATATATATATATATATATATATGTACA